ATAAACCAGACCTCATAAAGTATCTGTCTGAGCTGCAATGATTGAGGTAAGTATTCGTTTTAAACGCACATTTTATCAGAGTTTATGTCCGGCGCCGTTTCAAGTGGATCACGCAAATCGTTATCAGTTAAACTTCTGAAAAAAACTATTTAAAAAAAATCAAACAACATTTCTTATACTTACTGCAATTGAATCCCGTTTTGCATTTGCATGTGTAAGAGCCGTCTGTGTTATTGCAACTTGCATTATAGTGACAGCCATGGATGTGGCTGGTACACTCGTCCACATCTAAAAAGTTTGAAAATCCATCAATTTTTTTTTAGCAAACTTGACTGTGATAGATATTAGTCGTAATTTGTTTTCGTCTTCAGATAAATCACTCTCAGCGCAAATGGCTAGACATTTTAGTCTTCTCGGATGAGGAAGAAAAAACCGTCCGCCCCTTCTACTGCATCGTTAAATAATTCATACACTTATTGCAGAGATTAGGGAACATAGCTGCTAGTGTTGTGGTATGGCCCTAATTCTTAAAATGAGGGTATCTGCAAAAATTTGTCGAGTTTACGCCCCAACTTTCCAAGTGTACTATTGTTTACAGTTTGAACTACCTGGCTAGCATTCCTAATAAACCCGATTTGCGATTGTGTACGTGAAGTATACCCTTGTAGCGGTACGCCCCTTAGGTATCCAGTCAGTTGGAGTTAAGAGATCGACGGATATAGATCAGAGTTTCTTTTTACACAAGATTCTTCCAATTAGATAACGTTGCAGTTTCTCTAAGCCCGTAAAGACAGGATCAGAGGTAAGTCTCAGCTTATTGTATTTAGTTTCCTTTCTCTTCGACTTCATTTGTTTTGTTATCAGTCTCATCCCATTTTTTGATCTTGTACATTACAATTTCCCTTTTTTAGTTTTCACCGCATGTGTACCATAGTCAGACGACAGCATTAAACGTTGTTGAATCAACTTGTGTTGTCGATTCCTACACTGTGATACTCCCCGAACTCCAGTGCACAACACCCCGTGTCCGCTGCATTGGGTACGCGACAGCCTTAATTCTTAAAATGGGGGTATTCGCAAAAGTTTCCTTCAAAAATTGTAAACTGTTCAATGCAGTCTGGCCAAAGTGCCAAACAAGGCTTTGTAAAGCGCCATAAGCCATTGGATATGATGCTATGAAAATATTTCATTATTATTAATATGTCTCTATGAATATCTATGAATCTCACCTGTGCAATTCCGACCGTTCCCCTGATAACCTTCTGTACAGTTACACGTAAATGATCCCTCGGTATTATTACAAACAGCTTTGGCATGACAGTCATGAGAGTTGTCAATACACTCGTTTCTATCTAAACAAAGAAAACAACGAGGACTGATATGAGCTTATCCGCAAGCTGGATGAAGAACCTTCAGAACATTAAAAAAGAATATTAGTGAGACCTTTTTCACAGTTTTCTCCCGTGTAACCATCTGGACACAGACAAATGTATCTCTTGTCGGTATATCCATTGAGACAGGTGGAATTATGGAGGCAGGGATTACTGGTGCACGAATTCTGATAGGATAGAAAAACGCCTGTTAGCATCTATACTTGACCAAAAACATTCAAGCTGATTTCAGACGATTGTATTGTAATGTAAAGTAAAATCCTACCTCAGAGGCCCAGAGAATAAAACCTTTTTTTATTTCTTTATCTTCACGATGTTGGGCGTGGTCAAAATTACTCAGTTGGCAGAGCCTGAAGCCTGTCTCGTTTGGTGGGCCGATGTTCACAGACAAACAATTGCTCTCCATGAGGCACTCATATCTACAGTCATGAGTCATGAGCTCCTTCCCCATTGGCAAGTAAATTTCTTTAAATACGTAACGTTGAGGAGCACGTTCTCCTTCTGATCTCTTAAACCTAAGACTTCGGCAGCCAAAATCTGGAGGCATTGGATTCATAAGAAAAAATGTCATCAGAATTTCAGCTCGAGAAATACTTATACTCTGATCAGAAACGTGAATACCACTGCTAGAGCGATACATATCAGATATTACAGAATTTATTAGTGTACCTTAAAAACACTTTGGGTCAGCACAAAAAAAAAAAAAAAAAAAAAAAAAAAATAAAAATAAAATAAAATAAACAACAATACTACTTTCAGTCCGTTAGTTAATGAAACACAAAAAAAACCTTTTAAAGTGACTTCCCTGATAACAGAATAAATAACGGGAAAAAAATTGTTGCTGTTAGATCTTCATGGTAGCCTTTTACATTAAAAGGGCTTTTGGTATTAAGGTAGTTCGTAAAAGATAGCTAAAAGATAAATCAATTAGGTTTCAAACTTATCGTTTCGCGTAATGATGCAAGAGATCGTTTTACCATAAAATTGCTTTAAAAAGAAAATTTTCAGACTTTAATATGAATCTTGAGTTTCTTAAAAATAAAGTGTTTTTTTATTACGAGGTAATTTTCACACTACAACTGTGTGTTCCATCGGTAGCCAATATCGGATTGTTTACTTTCCCTGCAATCTTAACAGGTTTAAACCTGTTTGAAAACTCTGGTTGGCTTATGTCGCCTTATATATAAAATACATGAAAATATGTTCAGCCTGAATTGTAAAACTCTATGTTATTTTAGCTAGGGGAAGAAACCACCTGTTTTGGTGTTAATGAGCAAATAGAATATCTGATGTTTGTCTTTGTTAATGCCTGGCTCCTACTTAAATGGTCGACTCAAAACTCTCCCTCTTTGCAAATCGTTCTTCCTCTTAAATTTCGTTTACATACATCATCTTTTAGTCTCAAGACCTATCGTGCAGAAAAACTGATATTTAAAGGAACGAAATGCAGTTTGGGAAAGCGTCGTGGTGTAGGGCATGCCATGATGAAGGTTTTCTTAAGTACGAGGACTCAGCCAGTGCGCTTCGCACGCTGCAGCTGAAGAGCGACTAGCAATGAAAGATATGTGCTACGCGTGAAACAAAAAACTGATTAGAAAATAATTTCTGCCTTCCCGTCGATTTTTAGCCGAAAGTTTACCGAGAAAAGTTTTGGTTAATTTTTTTAACCGGAAAAAATATAGATTGGCAAGTTTTTCTCGTCATTTCAACTCAAAAGTCAACAACAATTTTCCATTAATTAAAAACTTATTGATCATAGAAATAACGTCGACAATGTTTAACCTTATGCCAGCATAGGTGTCAAAGTGAGACAGCATTTAATTACGTAAAATAAGTAAATAAGTTAAGTAAATAAGTTAAGTAAATACTCTCTAAGAAATTTTGAACCTGCGATGAAAACCTTACCGGAAGGTTTTCGTCTTCCCGGAAGATTTTCGTAAAGTGTTAGACACTTTATTTCCTCTCGAAATTGGTTTCATGTCTGGTCTCAAGAAATGTCCGTGTTGAAAAGTTGATATTCAACGGACCGAGATATTCTTGCACTTTGAGAAAGTTTTAGTTCAAGATGAAGCCACTTTTGGCAAGTAATTAATTTATACTTTTCATGAAACTTTTGTCAATTGCGATTAAAAACTCCAAATTTTTAAAATTTTCTGAAAAATCTTCATGTCAATTAATTTTAAAAGAAAAGTAATATTTTCCAAATCATTTCTAGAAATCTTTTATTAAAAACTACGAAATCAAGTGTTAAAAATCCATATCGCCGTGCGATAAATTAATGTTGCTTCGCCTGTAAATCGACGGGAAAGCAGGAAGTATTTTCTATTCAGTTTTTTCTTTCACGCGTAGCACATAGATTTGATTGTTAGTGGCTCTTTAAACTGTAGCATAACTTCCTTTTTATTTACTTCTCCAAAATGTGTAATCGAGCGATAAGGTAGAAAAAGGGTTTAAAAACTCTCAAACTTTCATCCTCTGTATCAACTTAGTCTAACATAGTCGTGAAAGCCAACGAATTGACGGATGTGTGATCATGAAGGTTTTCTTGAATACAAAGCCAATTGAAAAGCATACTATAAAGAATAACACTGGACCATAATTTTAGGAACTTTCTCTCGCTTAAGTAATAATTCCTGTTAGGGGCATCCGATATCGCTCCAAAATTTGCGTTAGCCAATACTTGATGCTGCTTCAATTTTTCCGTCTATTAGAAAGTTTTTGCTGCTAAACCTACAGAGAGTATATATTATAGCTTTCTGAAGCTGGCAAAGCGCTTCAAAGCTGATATAAAATGAAAGTCAGTGTTAATGACAAAGATGGATAAAAAAAACTTTACCCCGAAAACGGTGACGTGTACAAGTTTGTTTCGCGAAAGACACATAGAGCTTATCAGGTATTTTAACGTAAATTATAAGTTCAACTTGGTACTTTCTACTGATATAATTAGTTAGAAGTCAATGAAACAAATAACTTTGAAAAAGATGCAGAAATATGCTTTTCACAAGTATTACATTTCTAGCTTTTTTCGAAGAAATAACGGACTGGAATTCTAAACAAAAGAGGGATGAGCTAAGGAAAACAGTTAAATATCAAAGACTTACCTTTGTTTCCATCCGCAGGGCAGTGAAGCCATCCTCCCCACAGAACTGTTATGGACAGTAAAGATAGAGATAGTTTGGTGGGAATCTTCATCCTTGAAGAAAATGCTTGTACATGTCTATCGTTTACAGTGAAGCTGGACACTCTACCGTCAAGCTTAAATGCTACTCGAAGTTGGCAGGTTGCGTAATTGTTTAAAAATTGTCCAATTTCGTAGCGATTGTCTCGTTTCTCAAGTTAATTTAAAAGCCTTTTAATATATTCCTTCCATTTCTTCTATGACAGGAATATAAAAATAGATTTAGAACTTCAGTTTTCTTGTCATTTTCAACCATTCATAACTTTACAAGATCATTAGGTGTAATGTAAAATGTAAATTGGCCTCCGTAAACAGTTCCTAAAGTTGACGTTTCGAGCGTTGGCTTTAATCCTTTTTCATTCTGACGAAGGGCTAACGCTCGAAACGTCGGCTTAGAAACTCTTTACAGTAGCAAATTTACTCTATCAACTCAACTGATAAAACCGATCTTTTAATATCCCCTACCGACGAAGCACCACAGCCTGTTTATTTGTAAATGTAGGCTCATTAAGTCAAATCCTTTTGCAACGTTGACATTCGTTCATCTTTCATTGCTGAATAAAAGCGTCTTACCAGAGCAATACAATCCAATGCAATAAAATGTTGTCGATGACACAAGTTTATTACGAATATCGTCCTGAGGAGTGGCTAAAATAAAAAATACATTTATTTTTGTAACCTAAAAATTACTTGATTTGTGTTTGGGCAAGCAAAAAAAGAAAACTAAATTCTCCTTCTGTTAGTGACTTTACGAGGGTTCAAAAATATATCTTTGATATATTCATTATGTGGCAAATTGTTATCTTCCTGTGTGGCAGCTGGAGATCGTCAAATATGAAAACAGCAGGCTGCATTGAAGATGACCTGCGCAAAGCCACCCTTAGAATCATCTAGAAGATTATTTAAAGCATCATTTGATTTGAAATATCATATTTTTGTCGTCTTTTCTGGAACCTCTTCGATTTCGATTTTACTCTTTGCTCCATTATTGTTAATAGGCACCAAAATTTTCGTCGATAGGTTTTTATTCTAACAAAAAAGTACCCGTTGTTGTGCTATTTGTTTTTTTAACTGCATCGATATTTATGCTTTCGACATAGTTCATAATCCTTTTTTCTTCCTGATCTTTCAATTTATCCTGTCCCTCAATCTCCCCGCTTTCTAATGAATTTTCAGAATTTTTCCCTAGAGCGTCCAAATGTTTGCCGCATGCATCGCAGCTTTAATGAAAATTTGCACGCAGGCTACGCAACCACGCTAAACGATGAAATGTAGTGTCCATGTCATCTCCTTAAACTTCCTGACAACCTCAAAAAGAAAAATGATAATAATCACATAAAAAATAAGTCAAGAGATAAAAATCGAAAAAAAAAATGTTGATGAAGCGATAAATTGATGAAATATAAAGACGATGATCGGGAATTTTTATTTCATGAAACTAACGCGTATCGAGAATTCTATTAACTAATTCTTCAGCTGATTTCGGAACTCTCATGTTAAATACGAATAACAAGCTTAACGAACGCTTAACACTTTACATCCTAAGATCAGAATGAATAATCTCCATACTTTCCCTTTATATTTCCACTGCTGCTGATAAGGAGACTGTTTGACAAACAAAGCTTCCTGGCTTGGTGATCATTTCCTTTATTCTCATGATCTTAGTGAAGAATTCCATTTTATTATTGCAGGGAGAAATTAGATTCTGGTCACTCTTGGAGGTTAAAGGATTAAGGAGAGTCTATGAATTTTGGCCGAGGAGGTTTTCAAGTCTCGTACCCAGACCTTCAATGGCCAATCGGTTTTAACCGTCAGTTATATGGTAGGATCTGGGTAAGAGATTAGGGGTTCCCAAACACGGTTTTCTTTTGTTACACTAGAGCTTAAATAAGCTAAGAACCATTTCAATATATATGAATCTTTGATATTTCCATTTGAGTAGTAACTTGCCCTCTGTTTTTGGAAGAATTTAAGATAAGACATGAAGTTGAAGGAAGAGGTGGGCTGAGAGCCGCGCCACCAGATCCTCCTCCTTAACTCGGTGGTATTTTGAAGCCCGTCTGTTAACGTAATGCAGCACAGGGACAAAAAAGGGAGAAGTGTTCCCTGACGGTTTTAATGGGGTAACTGTTGGCTGTAAAACGGCCAAAAATTTAGCCGTAAGCTGCAAGAGAAAAGTTAAACTTGAGGAAAATTTTGGGCAGACTCAATGAAAAATTGGAAAAAATTTAGCCGAGAGCCGTAAAAGCCATCACTCCGTTAAAGACCGTCTTTTGTCAACAACATGACACACTCTCCGCTTTTGATCTTAGAGAGTTCAACCCTTTAACTGCCGGATCAAATTTGTAATTCTCTTTACTGTCAACCATACAATTCTTATAATGTTAGTTCAGAGAATTTAGTATTGGATCAACTAATTATCCCAAAATTGATATTTTTCTTTATTCTCATCACTCATCTGGTTGATATTGTATTAATAGCGGCGCTCGCAGAGCGTAGCCCATAATTATACAATATCGTAGTAACCCATCACGCGGAAAAAATTTGGATGTACGACCGTACGACCGTACAAGGTGCTACTTTTAACACGCGTGGTCAACTGTACCGCGGGCACATCAACGCCACGGCTTTGTTCCGTAGTCCAGTGGTCAGTGCGCTGGGCTTTGGGCTTCATCTGTCATTTCTTTTTAATCTGCTGTTTTAGCTAAATTTCCCTCTCTTTCGCACAGGAAAAAGCTAGGGTTATTTTGTACAGTGTTCCAATCTTTCATTGTCTTTAAAGAAATGAATATGTTGGAACGGACACGCAATTAAACAATATATTGGAGAACTTTTTTTATTGATAGCTTGACACTAAATTTCTAGAACCACTTAAAATGCAGCAACAGCTTTAATTTACCACCTAAACTAACTGAAGTGTATTCACCTTAAAGGCTTTTAAAACAATCAAAGTGCAATATTTCCACTAATATAATGTGAATTACGTCATATGCGTTAAGTGGATCCAAGAGCGATCATCTTCCCGGGTATTTGCACTAGGCGGGGTAGAGAAGGGGGGGGGGGGGGGGGGGGAGAAGGGAGGGGAGGAACGAAGTTTTTCCTCTTTTTATAAGAAGAGCCTCTTACACAGATTGAGCTATTTGAGGTCACGTGAAAAGGTATTGCAAGCCCTCCTCTCTCTCTCGTATGGGTCCAGGCCGGATATCACTTTGTTCGCGGAGTTTTTGCTTTTACGAGAGGTTTTCTATTCCTATGTGTTCTCCTTTATGAGAACAAAGCTCGACTGAAGCTGGATCGAGATAATCGCACTTGAATGGAATCAGCAACTTATATACACAAACCTTATTTGAGTTGTAAATACAAGAAATTAATGTAAATATTGTCTACTTTTAATCAAAATGTTTTCAATTCTCTAACTCAAAAAATGAATCTTCCATTTCAACGGCCTACCGCTGACTCCTTAGCTCTATCTTCCATATGTCTGTTGACTGTGTAAGCCTTCGGTATTTCTGATATAAGAAAAAAGAGCAAAAACAAGAAGGAAACAACAAACTGGATCGAACGAAAATAATAATAATAATAATAATAAAATTATTTAACAAATAAATGTCGTAACGATGGTTAAGAGCTGTGAAAAGTCAATCTAATGCTTTCCTGGTCAATGGCAGGAAGATCTTATCATAGATGTTCTAACTATAAAAATTAAAGACATGTATAAGGCGACACGTAATTTTAATTGACTTTTCTGTTCAATTATTCATCGAAATCTAGGGTTAAATACAGTTAACTTAATAAAAAGAGACCTCTTTTCAGATGGTAAAGCCTATCCCCTTAAATAACATTCTTTTCATATCCATTGTTAAATATCTCAGTATTTGCATACATTTTAAAATGCTGAGCCGCACCTCTAGGAGCTTTTAAAATCCGAATTCTGATGGCAAATAATCAAAGGGAATACATGATTGAATGGCATTTGTATGAATACATGATATTTTACAATGGATCAAGAACTACGAGATTGGCTCCTGAGTTGATCTACATTCGGCGATAAGGTTTGTTGACACATAACATTCACGTAATCGCTTTTAAGGATGTCTTATTAAATATTTTTTTTAACGTACAGGGTTTACTAAAACACCCCATCACCCACTCAATTTTGTTAAAAAAAAAAAAGTGCAGTCTGCTACAATTCCCCAATTCACCGACTCAACGCTTTGCCTTCACAGACAAAAGAAAAAAAAAATAAATCTGGTCTACTATTCCAGAATTGATCTTCAACCGTAATGTGTCAACAACTTTGTCGCTAATTGTAATGTAGAATAACATGAGCTGTTTTTCCCCTCAAGATTCTTAGTCTAATCATTATGAATATTCAAGCTCCATAACATTATCTAACTTGTTGTCATATCTAATCTCTATTAACCCTTTAATTCCCATGAGTGACCAAGACAGAATTTCTCCTTACTATATCCATACAATATCATGCAGACAAGTGATAAGAATAAAGACAAATATAAATTGTGGGATTACTAATTGATCTGATGTCAAATTCTCCAAGCAAACATAATGAGAATCATTTGGCAGACAGTAAGGAGAATTAAGATCTTGAGATTTAAAGGGTTAAAATCATCTATGCATTGGATGGGAAGCGGTTCGGTTGTTTTTTCTACAGTAGTGTGATGGTCACCTGACCATGGCCAGCCTTGTTGTAACAACATTCATTCTGCCGATTGTTTCCAACATTGTAGGATCCACCACCACCCCCACAGGTGTCTTCTTGTCTTGTTCCACTGCCTCCCCCAGAGTATCCTCCTCCTCCTCCTCCTCACCGTCCGTAAGGTCCACCTCCTCCGCCAAACCCACCATAGACGTCGGGATACTTTGATCTCCCACCTACCCCTCCCTGCAGAAATCCCTTACCACCCTCGCCACCATCTCCCTTGGTCCCATTGAAATTCTTTCCACTTCTTCCACTGGAGTAAAACCCGCCACCACCACCACCTGAAATATCATGATATTAA